TGACCTGTTTCAATGCGCCCCTTTGACCAGTGCTCAATCCATCAGACAGGTTGTTTGAATTCAGCGCCCCAATGGACAATGGGGACCTGAGGTCAGAGGTCTACACTAATAACCAAGGAGCTCATCTCATGCAAATCCCTATCAGTCTCTGGGGTCAAATGTTCTCTGGGCTATGAAGATCCTAGCTGTCTCCTCACTCAGGGCTGAGTCTCTGGGGAAGGCAGAGCTGTGGTCAAGAAGATGAATCTGTGGGGTCTTCTCCTCTGCTTGGGGACAGCCACCTTGGGTGAGTCTTCCAGATGTGACAGGGTCTAGGGGAGGGAGTGACTGCAGGGACTGACAGTGACTGATTCCCCGTGTACCCAGGTTCAGTGTCTGATATGACCCTGCAGGAGTCAGGCCCAGGACTGGTGGCTCCCTCCTAGACCCTCTCCCTCACCCACTCTGTCTCCTGATTCTCCATCACAACCAGTGGTTACTGCTGGGGCTGGATCCGCCAGCCCCCAGGGAAGCTCCTGCTCTTTTGGGGGCACATATGTAATGATGGAAACACTTACTACAGCCCATCTCTCAAGAGCTGTGTCTCCATCACCAGAGACATGAACAGGAACCAGTTCTCCCTGCAGCTGAGCTCGCTCAGTGACTCCCCCCCTCCCCACCAGGACACAGCTGTGTATTACAGTGAGGGGAAGTCAGGGTGAGCCCAGACACAAACATGCTGGGCTGCAGGGCTTTCCAGGGCCACCAGAGGGCGCTCAGGACTGAAAGGGGCACTGAGGCCAGCAGGGGGTAAGGTCCATCAGAGAATCAGAACACCATAATAACTAATCCGTCCTGTAGTCAAAGTGACCTCGGGTTCCTGCCCCGCCATCACTCACCCTTAGGACAGGTCCATTCTCAAATGTCCAGCACCACCAGGGTGTGTCCCCCCAGACAGGGGGCAGATGAGCTGAGGTTCCTAGAAGGAGGCAGTAATAACAGTTCATTTGTCCTGCATCTGATTTTGGTCCATTTGGAACCTGATTGGCATGGATATGACACACTTTAAAGAAAAAAATCTATTTACTAGAGAAAAAATGTTCAGAAAATATTCAAAGTCACTGAATTCAAAGACACTGCAAGAAGCTATATTTCTGTTCACAGGCATTCTTCAAATTTTCATAAAATATCAAATACCTAGCCTATATTCAAGGATACTGATCCTTAGTGGGACTTGGAAATTTTACTGGTCTGTGAATCAAACATCCAGAGTAATCTACTGACAGTGATATTGATTTTCACAAGTTCACGATCATGATCATCCTGTTGTTCATCGATTGCATCGAGCAGGCACCAGTAACGTCTCGACTTTGTCCTAGCCCTGAGATTTTAAAACGTGCCATATTCAATGCTCTTTCAGGATTAGGAGAATGAGACCCATCATTGTTACTATTCAAGGCCTTGAATTTCTGGGAGCTGGGTTTTATAGTCTCTGGGTCTTGGCAGTTGATGGGATTACCTGGTGCCAGGGGCAGTTGGTAGGTGTGACCCCTGCCTACTGGAAGATGGAGGATCTGGGTGGAGGAAGCTCAGCCCCAATCCGAGCAGGCTTGGAGAACTCAGCCCCGGGACCCACGTGCCTGTGTTCCTCGGGCAGTTCCTTCATGCGTGTGAAAAGTGGTCTCAGCATGGTTGTGGCTGGTTCTGGAGGTCTTTGGCTGCCGGGACTCTGCTCAGGGCAGGGAGGGAAACTCAACCCGCCCCCTGCAAGGTTGCCCTGGCGAGGACAGCCAGGCACGGGTTCAGGAGACTCTGCGCTGTTCTCTTCCGGGAGCTGGGTTTTATAGTGTCTGAACCGAGTCTCCTGGCCCCGTGCCTGACTGTCCTCGCCGGGGCCCCTTGGAGGGGGGCGGGTTAAGTTTCCCTCACCACCCCAAGCAGAGCCCCAGCAGCCGAAGACCTCCAGAACCAGCCACAACCATGCTGAGACCACTCTCCACACGCATGAAGGAACCGGCCGAGGAACACAGGCATGCGGGTCCCTGGGATGAGATCTCCATGCCTGCTAGGATCGGGGCTGAGCATCCTCCATCCAGATCCTCCATCTTCCAGCAGGCAGAGGTCACACCCACCAATTGCCCCCGGCACCAGGTAATCCCATCAATGGCCAAGACCCAGAGACTATTAAATTAACAAGTAAATTTTTTCTTTCTCAACATTTCTGTGACTGTAGGGGTGCTGATGACCACCAGAGGGCACTCAGGAGCCACCTGGGAAAGGGTCTCAGACCCACCAGGGGGCAAAAGAGGATCACCATGTGCTAGAAATCCACATGCGCCAATATTCTGTCACAACATAGAGACACTCAGCCCCATGAACCCACATACTTCCATCCACGCCCAGTTCCAGCGTCTTTCTTAGGACCCTTCCCCATCGCTCCCAGAGCAGCTCCACTCTCAGTGATACCCTCACACTCCCAATGCACTCCCTGTGATCTATCCTCCTGTCCCCAACACTCACCCCCATCAGGGCCCCCGGATTTCAATGCCTGGTATGGTGAGTATTAATCGGTACTTTGTTGGTTTTTTATTATTTTTACAGCATTCTCTTTGAAAGTCTCCTGCCCCTGCGTCTGGCTGTCCTCACAGGGACCCCTTGGAGGGAGGCGGGTTGAGTCCCCACTCAAGCAGAGCCCCAGCAGCCAAAGACCTCCAGAACCAGCCACAGCCATGCTGAGACCACTCTCCACACTTCCGGATAAGCCTCATGCATAAAGGAACTGGCAGAGGAACCCAGGCATGTGGGTCTCAGGGCTGAGATCTCCAAGCCTGCTCGGATTGGGACTGGGCCTTCTCCACCCAGATCCCCCATCTTCCAGTAGGTAGGCGTCACAACTACCAGCTGTTGCCAGCGCCAGGGTGGTCCCATCAATGGCTAAGATGCAGAAAATATAAAACCCAGCTTCCGGAAGCTCGGCCACATTTCCGGCCACCTGACATCTTATTATCTCATTTTTCCATTGGAGAACCCGGCAGGTTACCAAAAGAATTCTGCCCACATGGCAGATTCTGGCAAACTTCCCGTGTCGTACTCAATATGCCAAATACCACTAACAATGATGGGTCTCATTCTCCTAACCCTGAAAGAGCATTGAATATGGCTTTATAAAATCTCAGGGCTAGGACGAAGGAGATGTTACTGAGGCCTGCTTGAGGCAATCGATAACAACAGGATGGTCGTGATCGTGATCGTGATAGCTTTTGATACTCATGTAAGATGTAGAACAGCTTTTCCTCATTTTTCTCCCTCCTTCCAGAAATCTCATGTGACCTATTTTAAAGGTCCAGTACTGAGAGGAATCCAAGATGCCTTTATTCATGAGTAAAAACACACAATATATCCTTAGAGTGTAAGCCTATTGAGAGAGAATCTCCATCATCACACCCTACACTCACTTACACAATCAGGAAGTACTGCAGAGAGCGTGAGGGAGGGGGGAGGTATGGGGAGAGGAATACCATGGGCCAAGGAGAAACTCTGGGGTAAAGGGTTCATCCACTGTTTTGGGTGTGATGATCACTGCACGGGTGTCCATATATGCCAACACTCATGAAATATTACTGATCTATAATCAGTATTCTGTGTAGGGCATGGCTTCCTGTGGTTTTTACTGTTAATCAAATATTGACATGGTAAGAAAGAGATGTGGGGTCGGGGTGATGTAAAGAGTCACACCCCATGCACTTCATGCACACTAGTCTCCAACATCCTCCAGGTAAAGGCAAAATTCAGAATAAATACAATTTGTTGTTCTTATTATAGGTAAGAAATTCTTGACAGCTGCTAGCCCATATTTTGTTTGGTAATATTTGTGAGTTTTTGTCTGGTTTTGGAGCTATACCTGGCATTTCTCAGGGATTTCTCCTAACTCTGCACTCAGTAATTACTCTTGAAATTGCCGGGTGAAGCATATGGGATACTAGAGTTCAAACCTAGGTCAGCTGTGTTGCAAGGCAAATGCCCTACCAGTGCTATCCTTCAGTCCCTGTTGGTTTTTATTTGTTGTGCCACTCTGTATAGACTGCTGGCTATGTACTCAGGGGTCACTCTTGGTAGGGGCATGTGAAACCATACGAAGTGCAAGAAATGAACCTTGGTCACCTAGTGCAAGGGAAGAAGTTTACACTTCTGCTTCATCTACATCTCTTGTTACTGGGGACCAATCCTGGTGAACAGGGACAAGCCATGGGATGAGTATTTTAAAGACATACTTAAGAGAGAAGGGCTGGAGGGTCAGGAGACTAACATGTTCATGAACCGAGAGCTCCTAGTGCTTAAAACAGTGAGAGTTTTCACTTAGAACCAGGAGTCATCAGAAGAACGACATTCTTAGGTCAGCTGCCTGACTTAGTCTATATGAGCTAAGCTTTTACACATCCGAGGTGCTTTGATATCAGTATAAACATCTTTAACCTCAGAAATGTTTCCTCTGGGAGAAACAGCAGAGACAGCAGACACAGGATCCTGCCTCAGGTTTCCCAGGTATCAGAGCTGTGCCATCTGGCCATTCTTCCTTACTCCTGATTCTGTTTTAATTCTGGGTTCCCAACTCATTTATAACTTGCTGTCATAAAGTATATTTCTTTTGTCTCAATAATAGGACCAACTCTTACAATGTGTTATGAGAAAATTCTATAAGATATTTAAGCTTCTCTGTGACAAATGATACATTAAACAGAAGTGTCACTGTAAATATTACAAGATAGTAATCAAAAATAAGGACAAAATATTACAAATTAAATTGGTCCTCATATAATAATTGCATGAGAGAATCTTTTCCGGGTCATAAGTCACCCCCAGAAACAGACAGTTGCTCTAGAGTCCTTCACTTGCTCTTTAGGTACAAATAGAATGTTTTATGTAGGAGGAGAATATGCAAATGAGCCTTTCTGTGCTATGATGAAAACAGGCCAGCCCAGCATCTGCTCCAGGAGAGGAGTCAGTTCAGGGGTTCCCAGGGGCTCCATCCTGACTCAGACAGAAACAAAATGGTGTGTTGGCTGAGCTGGCTTCTCCTGGTGGCTCTGTTAGGAGGTAAATCATGGGCGATAGAGACATGGAGCATGGGAGAGATGGGAGAGGCAGATCCTCTGTGTGAGGAGAGTTTCCTGACCAGGATGTCTTTGTGTTTGCAGGGGTCCAATGTGAGGTGCAGCTGGTGGAGTCTGGAGGAGACTTGGTGAAGCCCGCGGGGTCTCTGACACTCTCTTGTGCAGCCTCTGGATTCAATTTTGGCAGCTATGCAATGTCCTGGGTCCGCCAGGCTCCAGGGAAGGGCCTAGAGTGGGTCTCAAGCATAAGTAGTGATGGTGCTGGTACATACTATGCTGAGTCTGTGAAGGGCCGATTCACCATCTCCAGAGACAACAGCAAGAACACGGTCTCTCTGCAAATGAGCCGCCTGAGGGAGGAGGACACGGCCCTGTACTACTGTGCGAAACACACAGTGAGGGGAAGGCCCTGTGGGCCCAGACACAAACCACCTGCAGGAGGAAGCAGGCTGAGCTTCAGGGGCGCAGGCTCCCAGGAGGCTCTGAGGACTCTCCCCTGAGGAAACGTTTCTCATGAACAGATGAATCATGTTTCTGTGGAGATCAGGACCGTCCTGCCCCTCACCTCTCGGCTGACCCCATGGGCACCTTGTCCTGTGGGTTGTGGCCCTGAGCCTCCATCCCCGTTATGGGTAGTAGTGACTTATCACATTCTCTCTTTCCTGATGAAAAGTTTCCAGTGACAGGATCATGACTTCTCTGGGGCCTGAGGAACACATTATTCTCTTATAGAAATTAAAATGACCCTGTAGAATTATCACTGTCTTCTGTAAGAGTCACTTGATCAGAAAGAGAAATTCTGGTGTCCACTTAGCTGTGTGCTGGTTCCTTCCTTCTGCTCTCAGACAGACTCTGTGCCAATTGACCTGCTTCCAGATAGATTCTACGTGGTCACCTTACACCTGGGAGTTCTGTTCTCCTGAACTGCCTGACCTCTCCTCTTCCACCCACTCACTAAGAGGACATTCAGATTTCCGCAATCCTTCGCCACCCCTCACCCTTTGTAGAGGAGAGACCATCTCCCGTGACATGGGCAGCACTGACCCCTTCACAGTGAGACAAGATACAAGGACACAGAGCATCTCCCTGAGCCCCCAGTTTCCCGCCACCCCCAGATATGCCACACTCCAGAGCCCAGGGACCCTTTTTACAGTAAGGCTCATACAGAGACCATTGCAGGTGTGACTTTTAATGAATTTCTCATTGTGGACCAACCTCAACCTCCATTCACCCTCCTGAGACACTGGAACTTGGGGATTAGTATCTACATTCCCACCTCCCATCACATGGTGACACCACTGAGGCAGCTCTCCTGTTTGGCTGACCTTCCAAAGTCACCTGTTCAACATCACAAATGTGCAATTAAATCCTCTTCACTTTGAAAATAGAAACAGGTTTATAGATTCAATGTCAATAATAAAGTTAAACTGTGAAGGTACATTTCTTATTAGAATCACATTATCAGCCCAGGTACAACACGACTAAATTGGGATAAAATGGATGGGTATCTAATCGTTATCAAAACCTGTTCTTACCCAAATGCAGACAATATGTATTTTCTTTGATTTTGGGGCCACACCTGGCATTCTCCACGTTTACTTCCTGTCTGTGTCCTGGTCCCCCCTGTAGTGCTCAGTGTATCAGCTAGTGGTAATGGATAAAGTCTTGAGACACTCATGAGCTATCATATGCAAATTCCATTGTACCTGCCCAAATTGCTGTCAAGAACAAAATCATAAAAGTGTTTCTGTCATGCCAGGAGTGTCTAATAATGAGAAATGCAAAATGAATGATTTATGGTTTTATTCATTTCTTTTATCTTTTAGTAAATTACTAATTATGATCCAGGATGACTTACTTTACATGTGTAAGGAAGAAAAAACATAAAATGAGAATGAGAGGATTGATAAAAAAGATGTATCTTCCTTAATGTTCTGAATATAGAGTAAAGCATGTTAATAAAATCTTTAGCTAAAGTGAGATTTCATCAGTTTAAGAACGTTTTCATCTCCTTCCCCCTGTCCCAATGGGACTCAGAGGTGACACCCACATCGACCACTGTCTACTTAAAGTCCAGCATGGACATAATCCAGACACATACACATGAATCTCAGACCTGAGCAACTTACTGCATAGATGTCTCTTGACTTTGCCATAGGCCACTTTCATTGGGCCACTCCAGGCAGGGGCAGGTGTCTTTCCTCCACCTGCCCCCTACGAATCCAGGCTTCCACCATCTTCTAGAACTCAGCAAAAAGCACCAGGTACAGGGTGGCAGTGACAGGAAACACCAGGCCTCACAGGACAGGGGAGAAGTCAGCCTTTCTCCTTTCCCCCACCCAGATGAGACTCTGAGATGATGCCCATATATGGTCACTTTGTACTTGACGCTCCCACACAGCCACGATCCAGAGACACACAAATGAATCTCAGACCCTCGTAATTTGCTGCAGCAATCTCTCCAGACCCTAATTATTAAACTTTTAAAATTCCTAGGGCAAACGAAGCAATACAAAACATTGTCTAGCATGGTCTTTTCAGCATGTATGAGTGGTGGTAGGACTGGTCTGAAATATTGAAGATAACCAGAGTAGAGAAAGAGATTACTGTGCAAATTGTCTGCCACACAGGAAGGGGGAGGTGTGGAATGGTGGTCGTTATGGGGGGGGGGATGATACTGAGGATTTGGGTGGTGGAAAGCGTGCACTAGTGATGGGATGAGTGTCTGATGATTGTGTGATTGAAGCTCAAACATGAACATTTTGTTACTGTGCCTCACGGTGAATCAATAAGAAGGGGGGGGGGGAGAAATAATGTTACCAGTGGGTTTTAGCTAAATGCTTTAGGAAATGTTCCTATCATTTTGCATCTCCTGTTCGCTCCATTCCTTCCTGAGCTCTGGGATTCAGCCTCCCTGGAAACTGCTGGTTTGGGTGAGAATGGGGAGACAGCACAGGTGAGGGCAGGGCTGTGAGGATTCTGGGTCCTGAGCCTGTAGCTATGCTGGGACAGGACCCCCAGGACAGAGCTACAGCGAGTCGTGTGCTTTGCACACCAGAGAGTCTGTCAATCGTCTCAGCATTATACCCTGTTTTGAAGAGACTGCGATAGCACCAAATTGGAAAGAGAACTTCAGCCAGACTGGGCACTGCTGGGTCAAACAAGGATGGAATTTTGTCGCCAAGATTCAAGGGCCCCACGTGTGCCCACTATCTAGGTTTGTCTCGAATTCCTGACTAGTCTCTGGACTTCTCGAGCAACCACCTGTACGGTCTCCCTGGTAAGGTCAGAGGAAGTTGCCTCCCCCCCCCCCAACCAAGTTGTTTAAAAGAAATTGTTTTCTCCTATTTTATCACGTGAGTGTAAACATATCTTGGACCCCACACATCCAGTTAGGATGTGAGGCAGTTGTCTCTTCTACTGTTCTTTTTTTTAATAAAACATAAGAATTTATCTAGTGAAGTATGAATCCAATAGGTTTCTTGGGGTCCTTGGTGGAGGTAAGAGGCCCTGCCCCAAGGTGCAGTGATGGGAAGGCAAGTAACACTTCTTGTCCATGTCTCTTATTTGGCTCTGAGGGCTCTTACTGAGCTCAGAACTCAGGGGCCAAATTAGAGCTACCGTGGATGTGACGGGGAGACTCACCCAACCCCAGTCCTCACACTGACTGACTTGTTTGTGCATTTGTAATTATTTCAGTTCAATTTGGTTGAATTCGTGGGGTATATTTTTCATTTTTGACTCTTAATGCTGAATATTTTTTTAATTTTTTTTATTAGTGAAACACCATGAGGTACAGTTGTAGATTTACAATTTTTTGTGCTTGGGTTTGATTATACAATGATCAGATACCCATCCCTCCACCAGTCCCCATTTTCCAACACCATGGATAATATCCCCACCACCCCCATCCCCCCATCCCCCCTTGCCTCTGTGGCAGGGCAATCCCCTGTGTTCTCTCTCTCCTTTTAGGTGTTGTGGTCTGCAAAAGAGGCATTGAGTGGCAAACATGTTCAGTCCATAGTCCACTTTCGACATGCATCTCCCCTCCTGGGAGGATCCTCCAAACACCCTTTATTTGGTGTTCCCTTCTCTATCTGAGCTGCCCTTTCCTCTAGAATGCCCGACTGGCCAATAAGCTATGGAGTAATCCTCCTGGTGCTGATCTCAGCTATTCTTGGCTATTAATTTCCTATTTTGTTACTTTATATCCCCCAGATGAATGCAATCTTTCTATGTCTTTCCCTCTCTTTCTGACTCATTTCGCTTAGCATGATACTTTCCATGTTGTACCAATTGTATGTAAATTTCATGACTTCATCTTTTCTAAGAGCTACATAGTACTCCATTGTGTAGATGTACCAAAGTTTCTTTAACCAGTCATCTGTTCTTGGGCATTCAGGTTTCTTCCAGTTTCTGGCTATTGTAAAGAGTGCTGCAATGAACAAACAAGTGCAGATGTCACTTCGACTATACATTTTTGCCTCTCTGGGATATATTCCCAGGAGTGGTATTGCTGGGTCAAATGGGATCTCAATTTCTAATTTTTTGAGAATCGTCCATACTGTTTTCCAGAAGGGCTGAACCAGTCGACATTCCCACCAAGAGTGAAGGAGTGTCCCTTTCTCGCCACATCCGCGCCAGCATCGGTTGCTTTTGTTCTTTTGAATGTAGGCCAGTCTCTGAGGTGTGAGATGGTATCTCATTGTGGTTTTGATCTGCATCTCCCTGATGATTAATGTAGAGCATTTTCTCATGTGCTTTTTTGCCATTCAGATTTCTTCTTTGAGAAAGTTTCTGTTCATTTCATTGCCCCATTTTTGGATGGGGTCGGATGTTTTCTTCTTGTGGAGTTTAACCAGTATTTTGTATATCCTGGATATCAACCCCTTGTCAGATGTGTATTCGGCGAATAACCTTTCCCATTCTGTAGACTGTCTTTGTATTTTGGTCACTGTTTCTTTGGAGGTGCAGAAGCTTCTTAGTTTAAGATAGTCCCATTTATCTATCTCTGTTTTCACTTGCTCAGACAGTGGCATGGCATCTTTGAAGATAGCATTAGCTTCAATGTCATGGAGGGTTTTGCCAACTTTGTCTTCAATGTACCTTATGGTTTCTGGTCTGATGTTGAGGTCTTTAATCCATTTTGATCTTACTTTTGTACACGGTGTTAGGCAGAGTTCTGAGCCCATTTTTTTGCATGTAACCGTCCAGTGATGCCAGCACAATTTGTTAAAGAGGCTTTCCTTACTCCACTTCACATTACTTGCACCTTTATCAAAGATTAGAGGATCATATGATTGAGGGGAGATGTCAGTGTATTCAACCCTGTTCCATTGGTCTGCAGTTCTGCCTTTGTTCCAGTACCATGCTGTTTTAATTATTACTGCTTTGTAGTACAGTTTGAAGTTCGGGAGGTTGATTCCTCCCATTTTCTTTTTCCCAAGAATTGCTTTATCTATTCGTGGGGGCTTATTGTTCCATATAAATTTCAGGAGTGTTTGCTCCATTTCTTTGAAGAGTGTCGTGGGTATCCTTATAGGGATTGCATTGAATTTATACAATGCTTTCAGTAGTATTGCTATTTTGACAATGTTAAGTCTCCCGACCCATGAGCAGGGGATATCTTTCCATTTCCTCATGTCCTCTTTTATTTCCTGAAGTAGCGTTTTGTAGTTTTCTTTGTACAGGTCCTTTACTTCCTTAGTTAAGATGATTCCTAAGTACGTGATTTTCTGGGGCACAATTGTGAATGGGATTGTTTTTTTCATGTTGCTTTCTTCTCTCTCACTGTTTGCATATAGGAAAGCCATGGACTTTGGGGTATTGATTTTATAGCCTGCAACTTTACTATATGAGTCTATTGTTTCTAGGAGTTTTTTGGTGGAGGTTATTGGGTTCTCTAAGTATAGTATCATATCATCTGCGAATAGTGAGAGCTTGATTTCTTCCTTTCCTACCTGAATGCCCTTAATATCTTTTTCTTGCCTAATGGCTATTGCAAGTACTTCCAGTACTATATTGAACAGCAGTGGAGAGTGGGCATCCTTTCC